TACCATGCCACCCAGTTCAGTGAAGGGGGTGCCAAGTAGTGCCAATTGCAATAGGAGTTCCAGGATGAGCTGGATTTGGGCAGCATCATGGGCCTCACCCTCAGTCTTCCAAAGGACCTACAGATCAGGGTGGGAGGAGGCGGTGGCTGGAAGCTGAGATAAACTCCACTACCTGCCTGTCTTTATACTCAATCTTCACAGATAGAAATTCTATTAAGATTGTGCACATGGTTTGCATGTGTGCGTGTGTGTGTGTGTGTGTGTGTGTGTGTGTGGTAGTGTTAGGGAAGCAGATAACAGAGGTCACAACAAGTACAATGTTTGACAGAAGAACAAAGCACCTCATAGCTATATTTAAATTTGAGAGAAGTAGGGATGTACTACAGTTCATAGAACAAGTCAAAGCTTAAAGTTTAACAAATGAAGTATGCTTTGTTTTGTTTTGTGTACAGCAATTTTTCACTACCCTCTGCTATGGGGAAACATCTACAAAGATGTACTTGACTGGTCAAGTACATCTACAAAGATTTACTTGACTGGTCAAGGCAATTGTCTTTGTGAAAACTTGTTTTATTTGTTCCATATAAATTTGTCATTTCTCATGATAGCCCCTACCTGTTCTGAGCTACTCTGGGGGAGGACTCTGGGTTGACTCATCTATGTTCACACATGGGTCTCACAGGCAGGTGAGGTGGTTACAGTAGGGAATGACAAGGCAAGAGCATGGGGACAAAGCCCACTAAATTCACAGATGGGGAAAAAAAGCTGAGAAACACTGGTAAGGAACAAGTAGAGCAACTCAATTTTATTTTATTTTCCTGTGCTGATAGGGGTCATACCCAAGGCTTCATGCATGCTGGGCAAGTGCTCTGCCAGCCCCAGAGCAAACAATTTTTTTTTCTTTTTGAGATATGGTCTCACTATGCAGTTCAAGCTGGCCTTGAGCTCACTCTGTAGGCTAGTCTCAAACCCACAACTATCTTCCCACCTCAGCCTCCTCAGTGCTGGGTTTACAGGCATGTATCACCATGCCCTGCTTAAACAATATATAGAAGTCATTATATCAAAACTGTTCTGGCTCTGCATGGTGTGTATGCCTGTAATTCCAGCACTTGGGAAGCTGAGGCAAGAGGACTGCCATCAGTTTGAGGCTAGCCTGAGCTACATAGCAATTCGAGGACAGCCTGGACTACACAGGAAATCACTGTCTCAAAAACAAAAAATAACCAAACATAAAAACCCTCTTTAAAGAGTAGACATTTCAAGACTGCTAATTTTAAAATTTACCTTGCTTTCCTTGTTAGTCTTATTGGATCTTGCCCTCCTTTACCCATCTGCAGAGTCAAAGATGCAGAGATTCATAAACAGGACATGTAACATGGGAGTGTAGAGAATCAAAGGAGCTGTCTGTCAGGGCATGCTCAGGGTTCTGAGTCATGAGGGCTAGGTCACATGCTGAGCTCTGGCTGCAAGGTTCCTTAAAACCTGTGAGCTCATGTCCCAGCCTTCCTTTGTACTGTGGCTCTAACCCATCACCATGGTTGTGCTTGACTGCTTGTGTAACCACTTTGGGAGATCACTTTAGGGGCTTTGACAGGCCAAAGAGCTTTGATTACACAAGGACAGCAGGATACTACTCAACCTGTGACCCTGTGTCATGTGACTCTGGCTAGCAGTTAAAGGGTCCTGACCGGAAACTTATCTTTCATTAGAAAGGATCAAGCAAGAATTTAGGAAAGCTACGCAGCTAAATTTTGTGGTTCTACAATTTGAAAGACATTTATCTTTATTAGTTTTATTTTTTAATATATATTTAGTACAGGGTCTACAGGGTCTTACTACATAGATCGGACTCGTAGTGATTCTTCTGTTTTCAGCCTCCCAAGTGCTGGGATTGCAGGCATGTGACACCATGCCCAGTCTCAACTGCTGTCTCAGTGCGCCCTGGGTGCGGTGCCAACACAGCACGCAGGGGATCGAATCCCAGTCCCTGCATCTGCCTAAGCAGGTGCATTAGTCCGCTGAGTTATCTGGTCAGCCCTTGAAAGACATTTAAAACTATTTGGAAGTTATTTTCTTTGGCAATGCATTATTCTTACTTGGAAAGATTAACATTCAACCATTACTTAGTTCTGCATATTAAAAAAATAGTTCAAATTTCTAGGTTGCTTTTCTAAGGACAGTAATCAGCCTCTCTAGTAGGGTTGGGGCAGATGGCTTTTACTGCCTATGTTCTTCTTTTCTTCATTCCCTGATGCAGCTGGGGTTTTAGCGGAGACATCTATTCTCAAAGGAAGGGATTCAGCCTCTGGTCTAAGGGAGCTTATGACCTATTTTTGGCTGATGCCATGAGGGGAAGTCAGCTGTGGGGGGTTATTTTCTTCTGCTGAGAGAGGGATAGAGATATATTGGTCAATGATTATGTTTTGAAATATGTGTCATTAGGTGATTTCATCATTATAGGCATATCATAGTGTGCTTAAACAAATCTACACAGTGTAGGCCATAAGAATACACACACACACACACACACACACACACACACACACACAATTTCCCCCCAGGGCTAGGATGAATCCCAGGTCTCATCCATGCTAGCCCCAGCACTGAGTGATATCTTCAGCTCTGTTCTGTTGTGTCATGATGACACTGACTGCTTTCCCCATGCTGGATAGCAACATAAGCTTTACATATGCTCACAACTGTGCCCTGGAGTAAGAACTCTGATCTTACAGATGAGAAGGCGAGGGCACAAAGAATAACTTACTACAGATCACACAGCTCATCAGTAGTGCAACTGGGACTGGACACCAGCTGTCTGCTTCCAGACTCTGTTACTGAACCCTCTTCCCTTGCCGAGTTTCATTAAGTGTTAGCAGGGTCTAAAGCCACATCCCCTTCACACTTAATGTATGTTCTTGTTATTCTGAATGGGAAGAAAGTCTAGTCTTCTCTGTTAAATACAAGGAATAATATATA